GCGGAGAGTCCGCCCCCCCCCGCTCCCCCGGCCTTCCGAAAAGCCGTTAAAACCTGGCTGTGTCGGCAGGCCTGGGGTCGATGAGTTTCCCTTCCCCTCTCGAATCGTGTGGCTGTTGGTTGTTTTAATTTTCCTGTACTTTCGTTGTAGTTCTTGTGTTTCCCTTTCCCTCCTTTGGGTTTGTGCGCCGCCCTGAGTCCCGGTGGGAATAGGGCGGCATATAAATAAAATGAACCTTGAACCTATCCTGCTGGAAGGAAAGATAAAAGCAGCCCCTGTTTGATTGCCCCTGCAGCAGCCGCACCAAAAACATGATGTGGTACGGGGTCCTGGGAACGAAGGAGCTGCTGCAGAGGACCTACAAGAACCTGGAGCAGCGGGTCCAACTTGAGGTACGGCAAAGGGGGCTGCCTTCCCTGTCCCGAAGCCTGAAGGAGCTCAGCTGTGCCAGCCCCAGAGCCTGCGCCTGCTGATAAGCCCTTCCTGCCAAGAGAAAGGGGGCTGCTTGGAGCTCTCTCCGGGCGGTCCGGCTCCACAGGCCTTCAGAAAAGGACTCCCGGCGCTTCTCTCTGCTCTCTTCCAGTGCGACGGGGTTCCCATCTCCTTGCCCAGCCTGCAGGGCATTGCCGTGCTTAACATTCCCAGCTACGCAGGCGGTATCAACTTCTGGGGTGGCACCAAGGAAGACAGTGTAAGTCTCTGCCCTGAGCACCAGTGGTGGGTTCCGGATCCCAGAGTAACCGGTACGGTGCAATGGGGCCGGTGCTCACCTCATGAACGTGCACAGTGCGCGCATGCATACTTACCACCCATGACACTCTGCGACGCCTCTGTGATGCTCCAGCTGCCCGGCAGAGCATCACACAGGCGCCGTGCTCCGTGCACCTGCGCAGAAGCACCGAAAACTTCAAATACTGGTAAGGAGCGCAGGCAGGTGGGTGGACCCTCCAGAGCACCATACCGGAACGGTACCTGGTGCTCCCAGTAGGCACTGATACGCCCGTACTAGGGCGTACCAGTCATAACCCACCACTGCTGAGCACCTGCCTCTCCGTCCCAAAGGCCCTGAACGGGTCCCCGGTGCTTCTCGTGCTTGTGGAGGGCTGGGTGTGGCCAGCTTCCCTGCCAAGATTGCTCAGAAGCCACGACAAGCGTCTTGACTGACTCAGCTGAGAACGGCCCGGTGGTTTCCCATGGGCAGAACTGCCCTGAGGGGAGCCTCCCAACGTTGGGCTCAATGAAGCTCGACTTTCTCCCTGCCAGAATTTCGGAGCTCCCTCCTTCGATGACAAGAAGCTGGAGGTGGTGGCTGTTTTCGGGAGCATCCAGATGGCGGTCTCTCGGGTCATCAACCTGCAGCACCACCGCATCGCCCAGGTGAGATGGCACCTGTGCAGGGCCCACCCCCGGAGCCGTCCCTGGCTCTTCCACAAGCGTTCCCCATTGCCCCTTTTCCTCCCTCAGTGCCGGATGGTGAAGATCACGATTCGGGGAGACGAGGGGGTCCCGGTGCAGGTGGACGGAGAGGCCTGGATACAGCCCCCGGGCGTGATCCAGATCCTGCACAAGAACCGGGCTCAGATGCTGACCAGGGACAGGGTGAGCCATGCATTGTGGAGTGGAGGGAGGTCCCGTGGGAATCTGGCAGCAGCTAAATGGTTGGGCTCTCGGCTAAGGGGGGGAACCAAACCGATTGGCTCTGAGCATCTTCATCCCCTCACCAAGGCATCCCAGTCAGTGTGGGAAGGGCTTGTGCACTCAGGAACCCAGCCCTGCTCTGGTCAGCCATGGCCAACGTGTGTCCCCGCAGGCCTTCGAGAGCACCCTCAAATCATGGGAAGACAAGCAAAAGGGGGAGGCCTACCGAGCCCCATCCCGGCTGCGGCTCAGCTCCCAGCAGTCCATGGAGTACCTGATGGAGGAGGAGGCAACTCAGATGCAGCAGCTGGTCCGAGCCACTGAAACCCTCATTAGCAGGTGCCAACCATGCCAGACCCTGAAAGGGGCACCTCTGCAAAGGCTGCCATGGGGAGCTGATTCCCACCTTGTGGTCTGTGCTTGTGGGCGATGCCTGATGTGGCCTGCAGAGCTGGCTGCAGATTCAGACAGTGAGGAGGTTGGGAAGGAACCTGAGCAAGTCCTGGAGTCTGGGGAAGGCTCAGATGAGGGCTCTGTGTCGGAGGCAGAGAGGGGGCCAGGGCCGTCCGACAGTTATCA